GTGTGCTTCAGATTTTAACGCTTCAAGGCTTTTTTTTTTTTTTTTTTGAGATGGAGTTTTGCTCTTGTTACCCAGGCTGGAGTGCAATGGTGCTATCTCGTCGGCTCACCGCAACCTCCGCCTCCTGGGCTCAGGCAATTCTCCTGCCTCAGCCTCCTAAGTAGCTGGGATTACAGGCATGCGCCACCATGCCCAGCTAGTTTTTTGTATTTTTAGTAGAGACGGGGTTTCACCATGTTGAACAGGATGGTCTCGATCTCTCGACCTCGTGATCCACCCGCCTCGGCCTCCCAAAGTGCTGGGATTACAGGCTTGAGCCACCGCGCCCGGCCGCTTCAAGGCTTTTAAGTGCAGCATGACCCAGCTATGCACCCATGGGGGGTGGGAGGGCGGGAGAAGCTAGGGTGAAGCTTACTGCTGAGATGGAGTCAGTTAGGTTAACCCACGTTAAGTTATTACATGGGGAAGGAAAATCAGAATTTGTTAAATACCTACTATATGTGCTAGCTGCTTTGTATATATGATATAATTTACTCTGTTGTAATTCTTGTAAACTCTGGAAAGTAGATAGCATACCCATTTTACAGATGATGATAATGAACTCTAGAAAGATTAATTTAATCTCCACTGAAATAGTTGGAGCCACAGCCATAATCTTAACCAATAGCTGACTGAAAAGGTGGTACTCATTCTAGTTCACTCTACTACCTCCATTCTGCTCTAATACAGCCCCTTGTCATCAGTGGAGACCATTAGAAGCTTTTGATCAGAGAAATGGCAAGACCAGTTATAATTGTGCTTTAGGAAGATTATTCTGGTAACAAAACAGTGGTAACCGATGTGTATTGAGTGTATGGATCAAGCCCTGTGCTAAGAAACTTAGACACATAATGATCTCTTTTAGTAATACATAGGATGGATTGAGATTGGAGAGGTTGATAAAAAGATGAAAAAAATCTGATTAAATTATCAGAGAATGTCAAAGCAGTAGATAACAAAGCAGAATCCGGTAGAAGGGAGATGTAACAAGATAGGGCCCTTCTGGTCTGAACGTGGTGGCTCACGCCTGTAATCCCAGCACTTTGGGAGGCTGAGGCAGGCAGATCACAAGGTCAGGAGATTGAGACCAGCCTGGCTAACACAGTGAAACCCCGTCTCTACTAAAACTACAAAAAATTAGCTGGGTGTGGTAGCACGTGCCTGTAGTCCCAGCTACTCCCAAGGCTGAGTCAGGAGAAATGCTTAAACCCAGGAGGCAGAGGTCGCAGTGAGCCGAGATCGCACCATTGCAATCCAGCCTGGGCGACGGGACGAAACTCCGTCTCAAAAAAACAAAACAAAAAAAAGGACCCTTGGAGGAGACCTGTGAGGAAAAACAGCTATTGTCTTGGCTTCTACTTTAAGTAATGCTGAATCAAATATGGCCTCTACAGCCTCCTCAATGTTTAGGGAAAAGCTTGGCTATCTTAAGGAACCGGCCCCATTAAGACCTTTCTTGAACCACTGTTTCTTTTTCTTTTTCTTTTTCTTTTTTTTTTTTTTTTTTTTTTTGAGACAGAGTCTTGCTCTGTCACCCAGGCTGGAGTACAATGGCGCAGTCTCGGCTTACTGCAACCTCCGCCTCCCAGGTTCAAGTGACTTTCCTGCCTCAGCCTTCTGAGTAGCTGGGATTACAAGCATGTGCCGCCACACCTGGCTAAATTTTTTGTATTTTTACAACGAGGTTTCACCATGTTGGCCAGGCTGGTCTCGAACTCCTGACCTTGTGATCTAACCACCTCGACCTCCCAAAGTGTTGGGATTATCGGTGTGAGCCACCGTGCCTGGCCTCTATTTTTTTATTAAAATAGACACATGTCCAGTTCTTTATAGATTTATTTGTCCCAAAAATGAAATGCTGCAGATGAGTTAATAGTGCTTTCAGAAAACCCTTTTGTTAACAGTGCTAAAGTTTTTGTTTTGTTTTTAACAATAGGTATGGTTATTAACAAAGGAAGGTAGAGCTTCACTTTGTAAAATCCATTTTTTTTTTTTTTTTTGAGACAGTCTTACTCTGTCACCCAGGCTGGAGTGCAGTGGTGCTGTTTTGGCTCACTGCAACCACAACTTCTGCCTCCTGGCTTAGGTGGGATTACAGGCATGTGCCACCATGCCCAGCTAATTTTTGTATTTTTCGTGGAGACGGGGTTTTGCCATGTTGGCCAGGCTGGTCTCAAATCCCTGATCTCAGGTGATCCACCTGCCTCAGCCACCCAAAGTGCTGGGATTATAGACGTGAGCCACTGTGCCTGGCCAGAATCCATTAACGTTTTAGTTAAGGTTAAATGATAAGCTAAGAGATTTTTTTTTTCTTTGAGCTAGGGTCTCCTGTTGCACAGGCTGATCACAGAGAGGCGTGATCATAGCTCACTGCAGCCTCAAACTCCTAGGCTTGAGCGGTCCTTCTGCCTCAGCCTCCTGAGTAGCTGGGACTACAGGCACATGCCTCCACAGCCAGCTGATTTATAAAAGTTTTTTGTAGAGAGGAGTTCTTGCCATCTTGTCCAGACTGATCTTAAACTCCTGGGCTCAGCAATCTTCCCACCTCGGCCTCCAAATTTTGGGATTAAATTTTAATAATTAAGGAAACCTAGATATGGGGAAAGCTTTTAATAAACAGGATTTAGTCACATTCTTTTTAGAGAATACTTAAGTACCTGTAGAGATAGCCACACTGCTGTTTTGTTTTCTAGATTAGAAAACCTACAGTTTTTTAACAATGAGAACTTAAGGACTCAGGGAGGGGAACATCACATACCGGGGTCTGTCAGTGGGGTGGTGAGCTAGGGGAGGGATAGCTGGGGAGATAGCATTAGGAGAAATACCTAATGTAGATGATGGGGTGATGGATTCAGCAAACCACCGTGGCACATGTATACCTATGTAACAAACCTGCACATTCTGCACATGTACTCCAGAACTTAAAGTATGATAATAAAAAAAAGAAATACAATAAACAGATAACTAAAAAAAAAGAAAACCTAGTTTTATGTTCTGCTATCTTTATTCTGATCTCTTTAGCTGTTTTTAATAAAGCAAACTTAAAAAACACACAAATCTTACTTGTAGTGTAACTCTGAAGTAGATCATTTGTAATAGAGAAAAATTGAAAATAATCTACATGTTTATCAGCCAACAAAGGAGTAAATAAATTATTATATGGTCATACAATGTGATGCGCTATTGCAGTTTAAATGAATCAACTAGACCTATACATATCAACATGAATACATTTCTTGGCCAAAATGTTGATTCCCCACCTAGAAAAAAGGCAGAAAAGGAAAGTTGAAGAAGCATGTGTCTAATACAATCCCGTAATATAAAGGACTTTTTAAAATTGTGGTAAAATATATGTAACATTTACTCTTTTAACCATTTTTAGGTAAACAGTTCAGTAGCATTAAGTACACTCACATTGTTGTACAACCATCACCACTGTCTATTCACAATATGAAGTTTTAAAACATTCAAGACAAAATTATATGTTGTTTATAGATGCATAGTTATGCAGTAAAATCTAAAAGCACACATTCTAAGCATAAGCACCAAAATCAGAGTTGTTTTTATCTCAGAGAGGGTGTAGGGGAAAAGAATACAAGGGGCTTCAGTTATATTTAGGTGGTAGACATATGAGTGTTCATAAATTACCTGTATCTGTATATCTCTATATATTTTTTTGAGATGGAGTCTCACTCTGTTGCCCAGGCTGGAGGGCAGTGGTGCGATCTTGGCTCACTGCAACCTTTGCCTCCCAGGTTCAAGTGATTCTCCTGCCTCAGTCTCCTGAGTAGCTGGGATTACAGGTGTGCGCTACCTCGCCCAGCTAATTTTTGTATTTTAAGTAGAGACGGGGTTTTGCCATATTGCCCAGGCTGGTCTTGAACTCCTGACCTCATGATCTGCTTACCTCGGCCTCCCAAAGTGCTGGGATTACAGGTGTGAGCCACTGTACCCAGCCAGTATACTTTTATATACCTGGCATATTTCATAGTTTCAGATTTTTCTTTTGAAAAAAAATTCAACTAGAAATTTTCAAATATTTTATAATCATTGACTTTTTATAGATTCTGGGCTATTCAGTTTTAAGAAACATGGTGCTATCACTATCCAAGAAGTGAGGTTGTTACCTGTTGAGTCTTCTTTGTGAGAAGAGAAATCTTTGCTAAATGCAGCATTGTCATCGTTATCTATCAAAAGTGTCACAGGTAGCAGAGGTTGTAGGTCGCAAGCCTAGGGTCTGAGAAAATGAGTCTACAAAGAAAGGAAATACAAGAGGAGAGCAGGTTTTAGGAAGTGAAAATGAGTTCATTCTTAGGCTTGAGATGGTAGACATACAGGAAGACACATATACTAACAGCCATGTTAGTATATGGCTATACTAATAGCCATCCTATTAATGTGAAATGATATCTCCTTGTGAGTTTGATTTGCATTTCCTTGATGGTGAATGGGGTTTAGCATCCTTTCCTGTGCTTATTGGACATTTGTTTGTCTCACTGCAACCTTCATCTCCTGGAGATTTCTTCATTCAGTTGTTCCCTAACAGTAAGCCTTCCAAGTACTAGCTGCAATTCTCCTGCCTCAGCCTCCCAAGTAGCTATGATTACAGGCATGCACCACCACACCCAGCTAATTTTTTTCAAATTTAGAGATAAGAGACAAGAGCTTAGGGGAAAAGTCAGATTTAGAAGTACACATTTTGGAAATTATAATGTATTCATTGAGAATAAATGAGTTTAAGAGGGTATAAAGAAAGAACAGGTTGAGACAAAGTATTGGTGAAAGAGATTAAAGAAGAACCAGTAAAACAGATTGAGAAGGAATAGATTGAAGGAGCAGTGGGGAGAGAGAAGAGTAATGTGCCGTAGGGATTAAGGCAGGAAATTATGACAGGATTTATTCAGGTTAATTCAGCATTTATTGAATGACCACTATGTTATAATCACTTTTTTGTATTGCAGAAAATTAAGAGTGAGAACTGAGAAAAAGCCATTGGATTTGATGGTTAAGGTAGAGTTACCATGTCATTGTAACTATACTCCTTGTCTGTAAGCTTTTTAAAGACAGAGATTCTGTTCTATTTGTCATTCTAATCTCAGTGCCTGACACAGTGTCTGCCACATTGTTAAGTGCTCAGCAGTAAATATGTGAAAATTGATACCAAATATAAAGTACTCAGATTTCTTCTAGGATTTAAAACATATTTTTGCTAGTCTATATGTTCCATTGCTCTCCAAATAAATCCCTCTTCTGTCTTTGAAAATAGTATGTTTTTACTTTTTCAACATCTCTTTGATGTTACCAATAACCTTAATTTGAATACAAGTTTCTTTATTAATAACCTCTTTAATCAGGTCTAACATAGGTTTCTTCTTACCTCGTCATATTTCATTCACTGTTGCTTTTTGAAACCCTATTTTTTGTTTCCTTTCTTACTCCTGTTAGCCACTCAACTCTATATAAAGACAGTTCTATGAGAGCTGTATAGAGGTAGCATGAGCTTCCTGGGGAAAGCATGTTTTCTATCTGTGGTTTTCAGCAGAACCAGGACCACAATTGGAAGCATATGAGAGTACTAAACACAGGTGGTTAGACTAGATGACTTTAAAAAAAGCTTCATTGAGACATAATTCACATATCATGCAATTCACCTATTTAACATGTACAGTCACTATAGCTTTAATATATAAATAGTTGTGCAACTATCACTACAGTCAATTTTAGAACATTTTAAATCACATACCTCCCCACCAAAAACCCCATACCCATTAGGCAGTCACTTTTCCCCTCCTCTGTACCCCCTAAACCCCAGCTCTAGGTAAACACTAGTCTACTTTCTGTCTCCATAGACTTGCCTATTCTGAATATTTCATATTAATGGAATCATATAATATGTGGTTTTCCATGACTGGCTGTATTCACTTAGCATAATATTTTTGCAGTTCATCCGTGTCGTAATATGGATCAATACTTTATTCCTTTTTATGGCTGGATAATACTGTGTTGTGTGAATATACCACATTTTGTTTATCCACTCTTCAGTTGATGGACATTAAGATACTGTAAATAATGCTGCTGTGAACATTTGTGTACACGTTTTTGCGTAAGCATATTCTTGGGTATATAACTAAGAGTGGAATTTCTGGGTCATATGGTTCTACTATGTTTAACCTTTTGAGAAACTGCCAGACTGTTTTCCAAAGCAGCTGTACCATTTTATGTGACCACCAGCAGTATGTAAGAGAGTTCCTTTTTCTTTTTTTTTTTTTTGAGACGGAGTTTCGCTCTTGTTACCCAGGCTGGAGTGCAATGGCGCGATCTCGGCTCACCGCAACTTCCGCCTCCTGGGTTCAGGCAATTCTCCTGCCTCAGCCTCCTGAGTAGCTGGGATTACAGGCACGCACCACCATGCCCAGCTAATTTTTTGTATTTTTAGTAGAGACAGGGTTTCACCATGTCGACCAGGATGGTCTCGATCTCCTGACCTCGTGATCCACCTGCCTCGGCCTCCCAAAGTGCTGGGATTACAGGCTTGAGCCACCGCGCCCGGCCCTTTTTCTTTACATCCCTCAAACACTTGCTATTATCTTTTTCATTAGAGCCATCCTATTAGTGTGAAATGGTATCTCCTTGTGAGTTTGATTTGCATTTCCTTGATGGTGAACGGGGTTTAGCATCCTTTCTGGTGCTTATTGGACATTTGTTTGTCTCACTGCAACCTCCATCTCCTGGAGATTTCTTCATTCAGTTGTTTCCTAACAGTAAGCCTTCCAAGTAGCTGCAATTCTCCTGAGGCAATTCTCCTGCCTCAGCCTCCCAAGTAGCTACGATTACAGGCATCCACCACCACGCCCAGCTAATTTTTTTTTTCGTATTCTTAGTAGAGACAAGGTTTTACCATGTTGGCCAGGATGGTCTTGAACTCTTGACCTCAAATGATCTGCCCACTTCAGTCTCCCACAGTGCTGGGATTCCAGGCATGAGCCACCGCACCTGGCCAGAGTCGCCCATTTTTAATCGAGTTATTTGTCTTTTTAATGTTGCATGGTAAAAATTCTTTATATATTTTGGATACTAAGCCTTTTCAGATGCATGATTCACAAATGTTTTCTCCCACTCAGTGAATTGTCTTCACTTACTTAATGATGTCATTCACAGCACCAGAGTTTTAAAGTTTGATGAAGTTGGCCAGGTGTGGTGGCTCACACCTGTAATCCCAGCACTTTAGGAGGCTGAGGCGGGCAGATCACAAGGTCAAGAGATCAAGACCATCCTGGCCCCCTCTACTAAAATGTAAAAGTTAGCTGGGTGTGATGGCTTACGCCTGTAGTCCCAGCTACTTGGGAGGCTGAGGCAGGAGAATTGCTTGAACCTGGGAGGTGGAGGTTGCAGTGAGCTGAGATCATGCCACTGCACTCCAGCCTGGCACCTGGTGACAGAGCGAGACTCTGTCTCAAAAAAAAAAAAGGTTGATGAAGTCAACTTTGCCTACTTTTCGCTTTGAAACTATCACCTAATCCAGTCACAAAGATTTCTGTCTATGTTTTCCTCTAAGATTTTTGAAGTTTTAGCTCTTATAATTAGGTCTTTAATCCATTTTGAGTTAATTTTTGTATGTGGTATGAGATACAGATCTACTTTTATTCTTATACATGTAAATATCTAGCTGTCCGCACACCATTTGTTAAGACTGCATGACTTTTAAGGTCCCCTTTGATGCTTTGTAGTATGTACTTTGGTTTCTGTTATTGTCTAAACAGGTGGATAGTCAGGATTTCATGGTATGGCCATCTATTTTTTTAAGAATATATTATATATGAAAACAAGGATTGCCATTAGTTTGTCTGTTTCCAGGCTTCTCAGTTGCTTTCAGTTTTGTTTTCCTCTGACTTTTACGATACTGGTTTGTTTCTAGTCATCTTTGGCTAGCTCCTTTTTCTCTTTCTCTTTTTGCACATAAATACAATATTCTTCCAGCCTTTTGGTACTGGGAACCATTCATTCAATTTTAATTAGCTTTGTCATTTAGGTAGCTTAGAGTTTCTTCTTAACTCTAACTGCAGTCTAATAAAAAATTTTCTCTGTATTCCATCAACACCTGGAATATAAAGTGTGAAAAATGTATATTCAGTTGTTTCCTAACAGTAAGCCTTCCAAGTTTCTTCATTATCTTCTCTATCTTAAACTAAACTCTTGATTGTGGAGTTTTCTGACTCTTCCTCCATGAGTTCTATATTTTGTTCAGTGTTAAATGCCATTGATTATATGGTAAATAGCCCTTGGACATGTTAACTTTAAAAAATATGATTTATAAATTTAGAAGAGAAGAGGAGACTTTATTTCTTATAAAGAGTTACAACCTTCAGTGTGGCCATTCTGACAGGCTGGGAAGCGTAGCCTCCAGCCAAAACCAGAAACACACACTTGGAGGGATGGGCAAAAGAAACAGGTATTCATGCTGAGCAGGTGGCCATATCTACATATTCAATAAGCTATAGGGGGAGTCATGAATATTTATGAAAGGAGAAACATGTCCTTCATGGGTCTCATGCACGCAAAATAGTGATAGTGTGGTCAGAGAATGGAGTTTTCACCCCTCCGACATCAAAAGGCGAAGCAGAGGACATGAAAATCCTTACTGTTCATTCTCTGTAGACTAACCAGAACCATTCTGTGGTTGGTAGTCTCTTATCAGGCAATAAAAGGAGGGGCAGTATCATGTGGTTGGTTGACAGCCATGGTGGACTTTCTTGAAATGACTGGTTTCTGTTTAGTTGTTAGGGAAGAAAGGCTAATAGTGGTTTGTGAGGGAAAGGATATAAACGAGGTATATCTGAACCCCCCATCCCAGCATAGTCAAGAATTTAGTTTTCAAGGTTAGTCTAGGGTCCCCTTGGCAAGGAGATGATCCATCAGTCAGTTGGTGGGCTTATAATTTTATTTTTAGTTTTCAGACCTATCCTTTCCTTTTTATGGCTCTGGCCACCACCTCAGGGATTTGCATCTCAGTGCTAAATTACTATACTATAATAGTCTTTTTTATGTTTTCCCAGATCCTAGTTTTCTCTCTGTATTAGGCCCTATACTCACTTGCTAGATTAATCCCCATCAAGTACCCTTCTCATTAAGGTCTACTGTATCAAATTTATATAGCACACAAGTTAATATTTTAGCTCCTCCCCATCTTAACTTCTTTCTCCTTATCTCTTGTTACTTCCCTAAATGGAGGCAAACTAATTTGGTAGTAAGTCCTACTTCATGGTTTCTTTTTCCCTACCTCATATACACACTATTGTTTCCTATTGGTATGCTTTTGCTTCTCTGCTATTCTTTCATTCTCTTCAGTGATTGACTCCATTTGACTCCCTTTTTTTTTTTTTTTTTTTTTTTGAGACGGAGTTTCGCACTTGTTACCCAGGCTGGAGTGCAATGGCGCGATCTCGGCTCATCGCAAACTCCACCTCCTGGGTTCAGGCAATTCTGCCTCAGCCTCCTGAGTAGCTGGGATTACAGGCTCGCGCCACCATGCCCAGCTAATTTTTTTTTGTATTTTTAGTAGAGCCGAGGTTTCAACATGTTGACCAAGATGGTCTCAATCTCTTGACCTCGTGATCCACGCGCCTGGTCCTCCCAAAGTGCTGGGATTACAGGCTTGAGCCACCGCGTCCGGCCCTTCGACTCCTCTTTTTTTAAAAGAAAGATTTTGCATCTTTTCAATACTTGAATATTTCACTTACCTAGTAATAGGCCCTTGACACCCTGCTGCTGCTGCTGTTATTCTGTCTTTGTTTTAGATATTCTGCTTTTGAAGGCATTGTTCCATGTGGGAACTATTGTTCCTGTTACCTTTATTGCGGTCTTCTTTTCTTGCATATGGCAGAATCTTTAACATAATTGGTATCCTATGTATCTTCCTGGATGACAAATCTGTAGAAGTTTTTGGGGAGAATGTGTAATGTCATTCTTAAATTTTAGAGACGCAAAATAATGCTTTTTATGTAAGACCCATTTTAATTTTTTTTTACTTTTGAAGATAGTATTCTCAACACAGTAAGGTGAAGTTCCACAACATATTACTACAAATATTAGATCTAGTTTATTGAACATTAGCCACCTGATATATCAGATTCTCTCAAGAGAAAGGTTAGTTTCCTGAATGGTGGCTAGGCATATTTTTGAAGGTACGTTATGGCCAAAGCCAGTACTTGTCATTTAATATACTAAGATCCTTGAAAATTTTAAAGGGACATAGTCACCAGCATCCAGCATAAAGGATGGTGACATGGTGATTTCTTTCTTTCACCATCTAAAGCTGTGCTTCTGTTGCTGACCCACTCTTAAATAAAAGATGCATTTGTTTTCATAATTTTCCATGTCGTCCAAAGTCAGCATTGAGAGGAAAAGGAGTATCATTGGAGTGGAGCTCGGCTGAGAAAGGATACAAGGTGGAAGGCAACTTCCAAGCCTGCCTGCCCACCCACCTTCTTTCTTACCTCAAGAGCAGAGTTGACATTGAGAACTAAATTCTAATTTTTTAAATCTTACCCAAATTCCTACCTGAGGAGTCATACCCTACAAACTGTGAAATCTCATGAGAGGAGTTTTATTTAACCCGATATAATCTAGCCTGCTTTCCCACCTGAGTCTGGCATAACTTCACATAACAAATAAGGAAAAAAATAAAAATATTTTAACCCCAAATATGTTCCCTTGCCATGTCTTGAAATTGCCCTGCAAGGTTGTCTCTTGTGGGAAAGTTCCACATTCTACGGAGAGTCTCCTTTCCACCCACTTTTTTTTTTCTTTCTTTCCAGATCCAGGAGAAAAATCAACTAAGGTACCCTTTTAAGTCTGATAAGTATAAACCCCCCAAATTTGAGACAGATCTCAGTTAATTTAGAAAGTTTAATTTGCTGAGGTTCAGGATGCATGCCCATGGCACAGCCCCAGGAAGTCCTGACGGCATATGCCGAAGGTGGTCGGGGAACAGCTTGGTTTTGTGCATTTTAGGGAGATATGAGACATCAGTCAATGTGTGTAAGAAGTACATTAGTTTGGTCTGGAAATGCGGGACAACTTGGAGCAAAGACAGAAAGACTCAAAGTGGTGAAGGGGCTTCCAGGTCACAGATAGGTGAGAGAGGAATGGTTGCCTTCTTTTGAATTTCTGATTAGCCTTTCCAAAGGAGGCAGTCAGATATGCATCTATCTCAGTGAGCAGAAGGAAGACTTTGAATAGAAATGGGAGGCAGATTTGCTGTGAGCAGTAGCCCACCTTGAAGGGGCCCATAATATTTTCCTTTCACATAAGAAACATTTTACAACCTACTCCCTCAGAAGTCTGCTATCTGAGAGCTTCCTCTGCGCAATAAAACTAGGAAAACTTGGTCTCCACAACCCTTTATCTTAACCTAAACATTTCCTTTCTGTTGATCCCAGGTCTTTAGATAAATTCCACCAATTGTCAACCAGAAAATTTAAAAATCTACCTATAGGCTGGAAGCACACCCACCCTCCTCTTGAAATTGTCCTGCCTTTCTGAACCAAACCAATGTATTTGATTGAAGTCTCATGTCTCTCTAAAATGTGGGAAACCAGGCTGCACCCTGACCGCCTTGGGCAGATGTTCTCAGGACCTTCTGAGGGCTGTGTCATGGGCCATGGTCACTCATTTGGCTCAGAAGAAATCTCTTGAAATGTTTTAGAGTTTGACTCTTCATCGACAACTTAAAGACAGTTCTCAGTTCATAGCATTTCATTAATTTTGTCAGTGGAAGTTTACTTTCTTGTACTTTCTTAACCCACATTCCAGTTCCCTTTCCTGCTCATATGCACCTACTCTAATGTGTTTATGTCTGTATACCTACATAGATGCTTGAGAAATACATCATTATGTGTGTGTTTTCAACCTACGTAATGGTATTTGCTTATTCTTAACCTAATACTATGCTTTTAAAGATGTATTCATGTTTCTGTAGGTATATCTAAAGTGTGATTTCCAAAGCTATGTAGAATTCCATATTTATATTCACTCCATTTTGATTTTTCATTCTTTCAAAGGAAATCAGTTACTTCAAACTCCCTGCTACAATATTTTCACAGCAAACATTCTCACATAGGTCTATAAATTCTGTAATTCACATGTATATATAACCTTATTTGAGATTTTCTTTGGGATTTATTCACCAGAGTGGGATCAATGGATCATAGGGTATGTACATATGTAATATCACTAAGTACAGCCAGATCACTAGACAGAATATCTGTGTCAGTTACACTCTTACCCACAGTACATGAGCGAGCATTCATGTCTTTCCACATCTTTGTCAATTTTGTTCAAGTCAAATCCAGAAATTTTTTATTCATATTTTTAGAGCGTTATTTATGCCCTCTAGTGTTTTCTGTTCTATCATGTTATTTCCCAGTGGTTTTTCATGCAAACCTGTTTATGTGGCCGTTTGAAGATTCCTTTCTGGCAGTTATTGTTAACTTTTGACTGCTCTTGATGGAAGAAAAAAAAATGCAAGAAAATAAATGCAACACCTCCCCCTGCTTCTGCCCCTCCCCACCACTGCCCACTGGCCCAAGCCCTGCTCTTCCACTCACAAGGTTGAGCCCCTTTTTCACCCTGCTTGTGCTACATGAATCCTGTCTGCTCAGGTATAGCTGATTAGAAAGAGATGTATACCTACCCAAGCTGAGTACTTAAAATCATCCTCCAAGGAATTTGAAATTTGGATGTCTCAGCTAGCCTCTTGAAGAACATGCAAATCGCGGGGTGGGGGCGACCATCTTCCCCTGTGTGCACAAAGAAGCTAGAGAAATGGTCTGCAAAGAAAGGATGATAAAGAAGATGTGCACAGAAAAAAAAAACATCTTATGGCCCCATAGAGAGGGAGAGAGATTGAGTTAGAATGTGAAAGTACCTGTCCTGGATCCAAATGGCTTTCCTGTTTCTAGTTCTCTTTTCTCCCGAGACCACATTGCGTTTTCTTATCTATGTTAGTTAGGGGTGGCTAACTGCTATAACAAATAGGCAAAGTGTATAAGACCCTAACAAAATAGAAGTTGATTTCTCACTCATACAAACAGGTCCAGATGACTCTTAAGTTAGTGAGGTGGCAGCAGTGGAGGGCTCTGCACTACATAGTTATTTAGGAGTTCAGGTTGATGGAGGCTTTGCTGTTTTCTACCCATGGCTTCCAAGGTCTCCCTGGGTGTCAGCATCCATACTGCAGCAGAGAAGTGATCATGGAGTTGAATAACAAGGGTGGTTTTATAGACCAGGTCTTGAGCCAGCACAATTACTCACTTTCCTTGGCTGGAACACAGTTACATGGCCACATTTAACTTGATGGGAGTCTGAAAAATGTGGTCTAGCTCAGGACACAGAGGAAGAGAAAATGGGTTTGGTGAACAGCTAGAGATGATCACATCATATTTAGTATCTGTGTGATACCTCTATATCTTTTTAATTAAGTTCCCCCCCCCTTTTTTTTTCTTAAACTTATTTGAGTTGGCCTCTGTTATTTATATCTTAATGCTTTGGTGTTTTCATAATAACCATCTTTAAAATAGTAGAAGAGATAAAAACTGATTATTATCTTCTCAGGAAAGTTGGGCCGATTTCCACCTATGATGCATCATCACCAGGCACCCTCAGATGGCCAGACTCCTGGGGCTCGTTTCCAGAGGTCTCACCTTGCAGAGGCATTTGCAAAGGCCAAAGGATCAGGTGGAGGCGCTGGAGGAGGAAGTAGTGGAAGAGGCCTGATGGGGCAGATTATTCCAATCTACGGCTTTGGGATTTTTTTATATATACTGTACATTCTATTTAAGGTAAGTAGAGTCATCTTAATCATATTACATCAATGAAAATCTAATATGGCAATGAAAATTATTGTCTACATTAAAACTTTTTACAGTTCATAAAATTATTTCAAATCCATCATTTCTTTAAATCCTGCCTCCTCTTTGTGAGGTACTTAGGATAGCCATGATTTCAGTTTCACATAAGAAATCTTTACCTAGTGTTTAAATGTTTTGCCCCAAAATTCACAACTAAAAAGTCAGAACTAGGACTTGAACCTGGATCTTCTGGTTCTTAATCCAGTGAGTGATGTGATTCAAAGCCCTCCCCACCCTGCCCCTCCAAAAATTGAACATCTTTACAAGCTGAAAAGGAATATAAAGATTTTCTAAGTGACTCAAGCCTGTAATCCAAGCACTTTGGGAAGCCAAGGCAGGCGAATCAATGTCAGGACGACCAGCCTGGCCAATATGGTGAAACCCTGTCTATACTAAAAAAGTACAAAAATTAGCCAGGTGTGGTGGCAGGTGCCTGTAATCCCAACTAATTGGGAGGCTGAGGCAGAAGAAATGCTTGAACCCAGGAGACAGAGGTTGCAGTGAGCTGAGATCACGCCACTGTACTCCAACCTGGTGACAGAGCGAGACTCAGGAAAAAAAAAAGATTTTCTAAGAAGAATTTTATTATTGGGATTGGCACAGTGATATCCAGATAGCCACTGTAAGGCCAAATAATGACACCACTTTGTCCTCCTTTTTTCTCCACAGGAATATGAGATGCTGTTTTTAATATTATCTCCAATAATTCTCTTGAGAAAGAACTGTCCATCCTGAAATTAACCCTGATATTTCCTAGCTCTGGGGAGACATGGATGTGGGTCCTTTAAAGCAGACCCTCAGTTAAGTTCTGCCTCCAGGCAGGCTTTTGCAGACCACAGGCCCATGCACTGTGAAGTAGAAGCAGAAGCTTCACTTTGCCCTCCTGTCTGGAGTAATCTTTTTTCTTTTTTCTTTGTTTTTTTTTTTGAGACAGAGTCTCGAGTGCAGTGGCATAATCTTGGCTCACTGCAACCTCCACCTCCCAGGTTTAAGCAATTCTCCTGTCTCAGCCTCCTGAGTAGCTGGGATTATAGGTGTGCACCACCATGCCTAGCTAATTTTCTTTTGTATTTTTAGTAGAGACGGGATTTCACCATGTTGGCCAGGATGCTCTCAATCTCCTGACCTCATGATCCACCCGCCTTGGCCTTCCAAAGTGCTGGGATTACAGGCATGAGCCACTGCACTCAGCCTAGAGCAATCTTAAGTAAGACTAGTACTTTCTTGCCCAGGAATTCTGCAGGCAGTCTGAGTTGAGTCTGTAAGAATGGCCCTAGGATGACACACATCCGTTTTGGATGACCATGAGCAAGGAAGATGACCTGTAGGGAGATTATTTTCCTTGTGCCTTGATAATTTTTTTTTTACTTGGAAACCTCATCTTCTGGTTCTTTTTTTTTTTTTTTGAGATACTTCTCTAATGTTGCTATGTAATTTCATTTCTGACTTCATTTTTGTCTCCCAACCTCTTTTTTTTTTATTTGATATGAGGGGTTCCATGACTTTGAGGTTCTGAGCTGCTGTTGATGTGCTATACCTCCTTCAATTCTCAGCTCTCAAAGGGGAAAACAACTGCAGAAGATGGGAAATGTTCCACTGCCACGCCTGGAAACACCCACAGGAAAATTAGTAAGTGCCCCTTTTCAGCATATTCACAGATATCATTGAGTCAAACAGTTAAAGCCACAGGGACAGTCTGTGGGTATGTCTTCAGAGCATTTCTCAAAAGTTGCTCCAAATTAATCTGATGCCATTGTTGCCTTAGTTCTGGGAATTCTCAGAAGTTTTTATATTGATGTTGGGGTTTTAAGGAAATGATAGCTACTAAAAGTACAAAACTACCAGTTCACTTTTTTATATATTAGCAAATTAATATTTCATGTTTAGAATGAATTATCATTTCCAGACTTCAAAATATTGATAGCAAAGAGGAAAACTGAGGCAGAGAAATCATGTCATTGCTAAAATCAGTTTTTAGATCTAGGGAAAGAATTTAACACTTCTGACTCTTGAAACATGGCCATCCGTTACTTATTACACAACTAGAATATTCTGTGTTCTCTGGGGAAATTAAATTTATACAACATGGCTCTTTCCTCAAAGAATGTATAGACTAGAATATAATGTCAGGAAAAATAGAATGTGTCAGGAAAAATAACCTATGAAAAATTTACCACCCACAATGAAGAGACCTGGCAAAAGCATTGCAGGAAGTCATGTCTATCTGGGTTCTAACTGCTTTTTGACTGCTTTTTGGATTTCCTTCTGGATTTTCTTTTCTTTTCTTTTCTTTTTGATTTGAGACAAGAGTCTTACTCTGTTGCCAGGCCAGAGTGCAGTGGCATGATCTTGGCTTACTGCAACGTCTGCCTCCCAGGTTTAAGCAATTCCCCTGCCTCAGCCTCCTGAGTAGGTGGGACTACAGGTGTGCGCCAGCATGTCCGGCTAATTTTTTGTATTTTAGTAGAGACGGAGTTTCACCATGTTGACTAGGATGGTCTTGATCTTCTGACCTCATGATCCACACCCATCTTGGCCTCCCAAAGTGCTAGGATGACAGGCATGAGCCACTGTGCCCGGCCTTACTTCTGGATTTTCTATGGAGCTCAATATCCCAGTCACACTTTGCATACTTTTTGGAAATCTTAAATATTCACAGAATCTTTTAATAAAACTGCTGTATTCTTAAATGAGAATGGGAAGTACAGCAGTACAATAGTTTTTTAAAAAATGTGTGGTCTCTTTAACAGGCTTAGGGAGTTGTCTGTGATGGTTCTTAGACTGTTGCTTATTTTTCAGCCAGTTTTGAGCTTGCTCAACTGCAAGAAAAACTGAAGGAGACAGAAGCAGCCATGGAAAAATTAATCAACAGAGTGGGACCTAATGGTGAGAGGTAGGTTTTCATGTAACAGGATCAGACTAGTTCTCATTTAGAAAATCAGTTCAAAATTAGGCCCTTTTTTTGATAAATAGACCACTTATTTTGATTTTATGTACTGTCAGTTTTTAAATTGTAAATATGTCATTTACATATTCTTTCTCATTTAACACTTTTCATTCCCATACTGTCAAGCAACCTCAGTTTTCAGAAGTTTAATGTTGTGCAAATTATTGTGAAAATGAATAAATTTGTGAGTAACTCCTACAGGGTGAAATAACTAGGACTTAAGAAAGAAAACTTCCTAACTGTCTAAAATAGGTATAATTTTAAGTAAAACCAGATTATTCAACATGTGACTTTCTACTTGAGACAAAATGAGAGAAGAGAGCAAGTGTGATCGGATGTCCATGTTTGTGTTGACTATGCCAGCACAGAATTAGACATGTAAATTAGATGTTAAGAGCCGAACTGGCCATTTAGAATGCCCCAAAGGGAAGACACTCCTCTTGCTACCAGGCTGACCGAGAATCTGAAAAGGTAGCTTCAGGAGGTTGATGGAAGTGGACAACAACCAAGAAAATGTGGATATAGGAAGGCAGGAAGGAAAAGCCAGTATGTGAGATTGAGGTTCAGTTTCAGCTAGTTCTTCTGGCAAGGATGGAGGAAGAATCTCAGGGCAAGTGGCTGAATCCCTTGCAGAAGAAAATGTCAAAATGTCCCTCCTGCATGTTTATGGGCACATTGTGTAGTTTTTGCCCCAGAAAATCGTTACTCTACCTTAGTCTCTTCTATTTGCCATCCTTTATAGTACTAGTACCCTATGCCTCTTTCTCTGTTCACTGTCTCCAGCCTTGCCTATCTTTGGTTGGATAGGAGAGAGTGGGTATTCTCAGATTGCAGCCTCCTGACCTGGCATTTCTCTGCAATCGCTGCAGTGCTGTTGAAATGACATTTATGAGGATGAACCTTGCCTGTGTGGGTCCAGGAGCCTTGATCTTCTTTCTGTCTGGAAAGCAGAGTTACTATCTGGAGTGTTCCCCAAAGTTGTATAGATACACGAATGTATCTGTGTGAATGTATAGTAATAGTTGATATTTATTGAACACTTAACAAGGACCATACTCTGAACTAAATGCTTTATATACATTATCTGACACACGACTATTTGTATGAGTGTGACTAAACCAATTTGTGCAATTATACTTTTCTGGCTTTGTCTGCTCTAACCCTGTAGCTGCCACCTACTGTCTGGGTAGAGAACTACCCAGGCTTTTATAGACAGTCGTGCCTGAAAAAATATCTGTACACTCGCCTGGGCCATTGGAAACCCCAGACTACACCTAAGGGTCATGGAAACCATAGATGAATACCTACGGGCAGGGCTTGTCACTTGGGAGACCCAACTCCTGGAGCTTGGGGTAAGAGAATACATGAAGATATTTTCTCATTATTATTTACTGTTGAGTAGCAGACTCCCATAACTCAAATTACTCTACCATTCAACCCGTCTACACCATGTATCTATAACCCAAGCCAGGGATGCAATACTATAATCCCTAACTACTGTCTGTCCTCTTTGTGCCAGTTTTATTTCTCCTTGTTTTATGTGCAAAGGCAGAGAAGCTGTCCCTATACCACCTCTGGAGTTGTACTGTCTTGTTTCAGGGGCTACAGGTCCTATCCCAGAATGTTTACTTTTTATAAGTCACTGAGGTGTGGACTCCTTGGGAACACATTGATTAAAGCCTGCAGCATGGCAAAGATTGTGTAAAACATTTTCTACCCTACCTCTCAGGAACTGGGGAGCAGCTGTCTTCTCACTGAAGAGAGAGCATGGCTCCTGGCTATTTACCAAATCTCTTATTTTTTAGTCCATAAGATGTGATTTTTCTTTTTGACACTTAATCCAACATCTTTTATCCTTACAGGTAGACCCTATGAGACTTATACCCTAAAAATTGTAAGAGCTGGGCAGCCCATATGTCTTTGTATGTTTTCTGTTGGTGTAACTGGGTAATAGATGAAGAATGGAGGTTTCCTTAGCTCACAGTTCTGGAGGCTGTGAAGTCCAGGGTTTACAGGCAGGTGAGGGTCTTCTTGCTGCATCGAAGTTGTATAAATACATGAATATATCTGTGTGAGGGTATAGTATTGTTAATGTGATATTTATTGAACACTTACTAAGGATCATACTTTGAACTAAATGCTTTATATATATTATATGTGAGGGCTCTGCTCTCATGTCCTAGTTACTTCATAAAGGTCCTACCTCTTAATACTTCTCCAATGACAGTTAAGTTTCAAGATGAGTATAGGAGGAGACAAATATTCAGACAATAGCACCAGGTTTCTACGTTGTTTTCCCTTTTGTACCTACGTTTGTGTCCTTTAGCCTTAGTTTCTGTGACATGTGTTCTTTTACAAGTCTATGCTTCTATAATTATTGGAAAAGCCCAAAATATTCCACTATTTGTTTTGTCAGATCAAAATTGTATCACATGTCTGGGTTTCTGGGGATAAAGCAGGAGACAACGTTCATTTACAGCCTCAAGTCCTTTTATATAGTATTCCATAACTGCGGGATGTTGGCTTAAAATTTGAGAACTCTGCAGTTTCTGAAACTTTCTGAAACTTTACCTGAATGCTTAAGTAAGAACAGAAATATGGGGAAAATTTTTTATATTATCTAATAAAACTTTTCAGAAAGGTTTTACTTGTGAGGGATGTAGGTCTGTACACATATTTAAATAATGACTCTTAGAATGTCAGTCTTGTGCCATGCTCTGTCTGATATTAAGCACAGTGTTCGGCTTAAGGACACAAAGACTAAGGAAAAGATCTAGGAATCAGAAGTGAAGGGTCCTGATTTCTGTCCTTATGATTAACAAAATTTCCTTTCTGGAATAGCAAGCCCAGTTATAACAGTTTACCTGCTAGAAGCATGATATGGTCAAGCAGTGAGGGTGCAACCTCTGGCAGCAAAAGAGCCCTGGAAGGCATGTTGAGTATGTATGTGGAACTGCAGATTTCTGCCATGAATTCCTGGAATGTAAACTCTTTGAGGCTAGACTTAGCCTATTTTGTTCACTGTGTTTGTGTAGTTGGTACTAAGTAAATACTTATTGAATGAGAATATACCTATTCACTTTTTTTTTTTTTTTTTTGAGATGGCGTCTCTCTCTCTCTCGCCCAGGCTGCAGTGCCGGCTCACTGCAACCTCCACCTCCCGAGGGTTCAAGTGACTCTCCTGCCTCAGCTTCCCGAGTAGCTGGGACTATAGGCACATGTGACCACGGCTAGCTAATTTTTGTATTTTTAGTAGAGACAAGGTTTTATCATGTTGGCCAGGCTTGGCTTGAACTCCTGACCTCAGGTGGTCTGCCCATCTTGGCCTCCCAAAATTCTGGGATTACAGGTGTGAGCCATTATGCCTGGCCCCTATTCACTTTTGATATAAGCATTTGTACATTTTTGTGGTGGAAGAGGAAATCATGGCCATTCCCTGCTGAGGTCCTTTACTTCAGTTCCTGATCTCTATATACAGAACCCATTGAACATATCTCATAAATACCTACCTTTAGCCTCATCATATGAGAAGTATCTATTGAATGAATGAATGTCCAAGATTCACTCAATATATATCCCTCAACTGAACCTACTCTACCTTTAATTTCCATCTCAGCAAATGACTCTATCATCCACTTAGTTGCCCAAAGCAGAAATTAGATGTTGTCCTTGATTCACCTTTTCTTTTACTTGCCATATCTCGTCAATCACCATGTCTTGTCATTTCCATTTAATTAATAAGTCTGTCTCCCTGCAAAAGACTGTAGGCTCCATGAGGTCAGGGATATCCTTCCTAGCTCTGGAGCTTAGCACAGGCACATGAAAGCCTCAAAAAAAAAAAAAAAAGTTTTAGATGAAGAAAGAATGAGTGAGTGAGCGAGTGAATGAATTAATGAATGAATGCCTGTTTTTGACATAGGTCATAACTATCTCATGTGGTTTCTCTAATTTTGCCTTCCTTTCAGTTTTCTTTCTGTTTTCCAAACAGATGGATTATCTTTTTAGTTTTAATCCTTCAGCAGGTCCCTTTGGATTTTGAAAAACTGCAGAATCTTTGACATAGCTTACATGGGCCTGAGTGACCTGGCCTTGTGTACCTCTCTCTGTCTTTCTTCATCACTCTCTGTGGTCCAGCCACACTGACAACTTGCTGTTCCTCTAAAATACGTGTACATTTTTGCCTCTAGGACTTTGCATATGCTTTTTCGTTTGCCTGGGTCCTCTCCACCCACAATACATACTTATTTTGACTCTGAAGGCTTTTGAGGAGAAATGTCACAATTTGCTGTGCTTTAGAAAAATAACTCTTACAGTAATAGAGTGACTACACGCTAGAAGGTTATTGAAAAGGTTTCAGCAAATAGTAATAAGTCGGCCAGTGAGAGTGGGAAAGAGGGGACAAATTAAGGGGACCTAATGGAAAAAAAAAATCGCAGGCTGTATCAGTGTTCCTTGGTTGTAAGCAGCCAACTCTGGCTAGCAAAACATTTGGAGTATGAGGAGGCAGAATTTATTGGAAGAATATGGGGTAGCTTATATCAAAGGAATAGCTGAACATCCAGGTTTCAGGAAAGGTGGTAATCAGAGCAGCTTTGGGCGTTTAGGGAGGAGGAACAAAGGGACAGTCTCCTCATGGACTGTTGCCAGGATGAATTTAATGTCACAAGTATTCAGTTCAGGCTTCACAGTGTTCAAGGTCCAGAAGTACAGTTTGCCCAACTTGGGTCCTATATCTATCCCTGAATCAATCCTTGCAGCCAAGGAGTGGAAGATGATGATTAGCTGTGGGTCACATGGCCAGCCTTGAAGGAGAGAGTGGGGGATGGATGGCTCACACTAACCTTTGCACTATGAATGGAGGAGGAGTTGGTTCCCCAAAAGAAAACTAACCAGAAAAGAGCAATGAAGAAGAATAAGTAAATAAAGATGAATTGGAAATTTACAGCCAAACTGGAAGGAAGATTATGGCATTAACAAGATAAAATACAAAAGAAGGGAAAGTACATAAGGCTTTGGAGTTGAGATCATGAGTTCAGCATTGAGTATGTCTGAGATGCCATTAGAACATCCATGTATAACATGAAACAGCAATAGGAAATTTGATTCTTGAAGTCAGAGCAGAGGGCTCAGGTTTGGAAGTCATTTGGCTGGGAGTAAGAGATGGAGAAAATCTCCATGGAGAAAGGTGAGATCACCAAATCTTAGAGGCATATCAGTGTCTTTTGCCGTAGCCTGAGGTCTTCTTTTATTGGTCTGAGTTCTGTTCTAGCCATGAATGGTGTTACTAAAATCTGTTTAATTCTCTGTACTTAATTTTTGGATTTGGAACTTGATGGCTCTGCTAGGCTTATAGAATTCAAAATTCTGGTGAGGCTGAATTCCAACTGTGACCTTTTATTTTTCTATCACCTTAGAATCTTCCATACTCAGCCTCTTCTGGGCTACCTGTTCATGCAGTTGCTCACCATCCTGAGCCAACTGGGACCTGGTTTCAAGAGGTGACTTTAAGGTTAACTTTAACATAGTTGCAAGGCCTTCAAATGGAAATGCCCAGGAAATAACTCCAGTTATTGGAGTTGTGAGATGGGGGTTTGTGTGAAAAGTCAAGATTGAAGGTAGCTTTAGGACATCTTTTCTGTAGAAGTGATGGTCTAATCCATGATACTGGGTCAGCTTCCTGAGGGCATGATTATAAGAATGGAGAAATGAGAGTCCTAGGATTGAGCCTTGGGAAAGTTGTTTTGGGAAGTGAGTGGATGAAAGTGAGCCAGAATCATAGATAAAAGGAATCCTTAAAGAAGTGGGAGGAATACAAATGTCTCAACAGCTAGGTTTCAAGGAGAGCGAATGGTCTATGATAAAGAGAAGTCAAGAAGAATGAAATTTGAGAAAAAGACCCTTGGACTTAGTAAAGTGAAAATCACTTAGTAAAGGTTTTTGCAAGTTTTGGTAAAATGATAGAATGGAATTTAGAATTCAGAGAGGTGGAAGGAAATAATGGATGGTGAGGAAATGGGAATGAGTCAAACTCTAATACATAATTATTGAGCTCTTAACAGTGATCATGGCATTATGCCTATACTGTTGCGAACTTAATTATTACTGTCCTGTAGGAGTATCAAACCAAGCTGAGACTATAAGGAATCCATAAAAATATTCATTGCAGTAAATTCAGAAGATGTTATAAGGTAGACCATGATTAATGTTTAATGCATGATATGGACAATAAAAGTGTACTTGTTTAGAGTGAAATGAGGATGCTTTGGTTTGGAGTTCTCTGGGAAAGCTCTTGTCTGTTCCTGCTTCCTCTTATCTACCCATCCTCTTTTTTTTTTTTTTTTTTTTTTGACAGTTTTGCTCTTGTTGCCCAGGCTGGAGTACAGTGGCGCAATCTCAGCTCATTGCAACCTCCACGTCCTGGTTTCAGGCGATTCTCCTGCGTCAGCCTCCCAAGTAGCTGGGATTACAGGCATGTGCCACCACACCTGGCTAATTTTGTATTTTTAGTAGAGATGAAGTTTCTCCATGTTGGTCAGACTGGTCTCAAACTCCCGACCTCAGGTAATCCACCTGCCTCTGTCTCCCAAAGTGCTGGGATTACAGGCCTAAACCACCGTGTCTGGCCTATCCATCTTCTTTTAGGATAAGGGCTTCTGATTTCCCATGACTTAGGAAACAGAATTAAGACTCATTCATTGAAGATCAGAAAGGCCTGTGTACAGTCTGGAAAAGTAACATGTGCCACTTAAAGAGACAAGCGTTTGTGATAGGGAGTTAAGCTCTTCTAGTCTGCTCCAGAAGCTTCACACAAAGTGGGTTGTTTTAACAGTAAGAATTAGGGGTTATGTGGGGCACATGAGCAGTTGTGGAGAGTCAGGACTCCTGTACTGATGGGAAGAATAGAGCTATCAGAGGCCCTACTTAATTTTAGCTGAATGTGGAACAGACAGGCATCTTTAGTAGTTCACAGCTTTGAAGCTACTTAGTATGGAAGAAGTAGAGCTCATGGTGTTTTTGTTTTTTGCTTTCACTGAGGTCTGTGGTAATGTTGGCTTTTCATATCCTCAGTTACTATCTTCATGTTGAAAGGAGAACTACTCTTTTTTTTCTCTCTGTTAGTCATTAAAGCTAAAGTTATTTAGGCTGAGCATAAAAAGGAGTGCAGGCTCAGAACTGGCTGTTAGAAAAATACATGACCGTCTCCACAAGGCTATACAGAGTGCATCATTTTTCTTTTGTAAGTGTTGTATTAACTTGTGTTTGGAAGTTTTAAGAGGAGAATAAGTGGCTTCCATTAAATCCTGCTGCTAGATAAAACTGGTCTCAAAGCAGATAGTTCTCAGTCTTCTAAGCAGGACCGTGTTTGCCTAGCAGTGAGATGCAGTGCTTTCCTCTCAAAGAAAGTAATCATACTATTGTCCTTGAGTCTCATGTTATTTTTGCACATATTTGCCAGAGCCACACAGCTATGTTGGGATTCAAACCAGGTTTTCCAAAATGTGAAACTTGAGCACAGTGCTTCAAGAATTGCACAGAATGCGATCAGAAGTCTGGATGGTTTTAGTTATAGTGCTTCCATTAACTGGCAGTATGAATATATAAACAATATTTCTCCTCTGTGGACCCCAGTTTCTCTAGTCTAGATGATTGAATTTTCAAAATTACTCACCTCTGAAATTTTCGGACATATCCTTATACCTGCACAGGTAAATTTAACCTGGTGATTCTAGTAGCATAAATTTTCCCTGGTTGAGGCTAATGGCCCAGAACATTTTCCTTTGATGACCTTGCTTCAGAGAAAAGTGGCTTGTAGTAAATGGAGTAATGTGAGTAACAGTGAAATTGTTAGGTGATTAGAGAATCAGGACATTGAGATATACTGAAAAAACACTGAACTGAAAGCTGAGACATCTGGGGTCTGGTCCTAGTATTGACATTAACTAATTTCGGGACCTTGGGCAATCACTTAATCTATTCTGGGCTTTAGTTTTCCCATTTATAAAATCAAAGCATTGAACTAACATCTCTGGTTCCCAGCTATGCAGTTTGAGGATCAATTCCTAGATTACTTACTTGCTGCAATTGCGCTTTCTGTTCTAGTATCCAGACAGACCATAGTGATGTTTATGTCCATTGCCTAGGAGTATATACTACTAAATGGTTGTCTGATATTTCTAAGCAGAGCACAGACTGTGACTTCTGACCAAGAGAAACAGTTGCTGCATCAGCTCCGAGAAATCACCAGGGTCATGAAAGAAGGAAAATTCATTGACAGATTTTCTCCAGAGAAAGAAGCCGAGGAGGCCCCTTACATGGAGGACTGGGAAGGTAAACAGTGTCTTCTCATTTCTTTCTTAGCTATCAGCCCAGAAAAGAGATCTTACAGATTTTTTAAAAATCAGCTTCATTAGATACAGGTGATGGGGAGGAAGGCAGCAAATCACACTGCTGTGTGTGTACCTGTGCAACAATCTTGCATGTTCTTCACATGTACCCCAAAACCTAAAATGCAATAAAAAAAATTAGCTTCATTATTGAGGCATAATATGTAAACAGTAATATTCACCAATTTTGAATGTACAGTTACATGAGTTTTGACAAATAGAGTTTGTGTAATCACACCATAATTTTGATAAAGAATATTTACGTCACGCAGAAAGCTCCCCACTCTTTGCAGCTATGCCTTCTCCTGCCCCTGGTGACAACTGAAGTGCTTTCTGTGCCTTTAGTTTTGCCTTTTCTATGTAAGTGGATCATACTGCATACGCTCATTGGCTTCTTTGATTTAGCATAATACTTTTGACATTCATGTTTGTTATTGAATGTATCTGTACTTTTTTTCTTTCTGAGTAGTAGTCAGTTATATGCTTGTACCATAATTTGTTTGTTCATTCACCAGTTGAGGAACATTTGGGTTGTTCCTAGCTTTGCACTCTTATGACTCAGGCAGCTATGAACTTTTGCATGTGAGTCTTTGTTTGAACATATATTTGTATTCTTTTGGGTCTATACCTAGGAGTGACATTTCTGGGTTTAAGGTAATTGTATATTTAATTTTTTTTTTTTTTTTTTTGCCGCAGTCTCACTTTGTCACCCAGGCTGGAGTGCAGCAGCACAATCTCAGCTCACTGCAACCTCTGCCTCCTGGGTTCCAGGGATTCTTCTGCCTCAGCCTCCCATGTAGCTGTGATTACAGGTGCCTGCCACTACACCCAGCTAATTTTTGTATTTTTAATAGTGATGGGGTTTTACCATGTTGGCCAGGCTGGTCTCAAACTCCTGACCTCAAGTGATCCACCTGCCTTGGCCTCCCAAAGTGCTGGGATTACAGGTGTGAGCTACCATGGTGGCCACGTGTTTAACTTTACTAGAAACTGTCAACCTACTTTCCTAAGCTCTAATTTTTCTCTTCACACCAGCAGTGTATGGCAATTGAAGTTACTCCACATCCTTGTTAACACTTGGTATTGTCAGTCTTTTTAATTTTAGCCATTCTAGTGAGTATAAAATGACATCTTAATTGTGACTTTACCTTTCTCCAATGACTAATGATGAACATTTTTTCATGTGCTTATTTGCCATCGGCATATCTTTGAAGTGTCTGTTCAGATCATTTGCCAATTTTTTTTTAAATTTTTTATTTTTAATATAGACGGGGTTTCACCATGTTGACCAGGATGGTCTCCATCTCTTGACCTCGTGATCCACCCGCCTCAGCCTCTCAAAGTGCTGGGATTACAGGCGTAAGCCACCGCGCCCGGCCCTCATTTGCCAATTTTTAAATTGGGTTGATTAGGTTCTTGTTGGGTTACAAGAGTTCTTTATATATTCTGGTTACAAGTTCTTTATCAGTTATGCATTTTGCAAATGTTTTTTCCTAGTCTGTAGCTTGCTTTCTTAACAGCATCTTTCAAAGAGCAGAAGTTTTAAATTTTGATGAAGTTCAATTTATTATTTTTTAGTTCAAATTATTATGATTTACATTGTTTATGTTCTGTTTAAGAAATCTTTGGCTAACCCAAGGTTTGCCTAACTCCTGTGTTTTCTAGAAATTTTATGGTTCTAGCCTTTACATTTAGGCCTGTGATCTAATTTGAGTTAACCTTTGTAGATACTATCAGGACTGAGGTTTATTTTTTTCCATATTAAATACCCAATTGTTCAGCTTCTTTTGTTACATTTAATTAGCTTGGCATGTGCTTGAAAACCAGTTGACCATGCATGTGCTTGTCTGTTCTGGGCTGTTCTGTTCCATTGATCTGTATGTCTCTACTTGTGCTAATATCATACGATCTTTTTATTACTGTGTCTTTATAGTAAGTCATGATTTTGGGTAGTTCAAGTTGTTCAGATTTTTTTCTCCAAAATTATTTTGGCTATTCTATGTCCTTCTCATTTTCATATAAATTTATAATCAGTGTGTCAGTTTTTATAAAGAAGCCTGATGGGATTTTAATTGGCACTGCTTTGAATCTTTGCATCAGTTTGGAAGAATTGATACCATAACAATATTGAATCTTCTAATTCATGAATGTGTTATATCTCACCATTTATTTAGCTCTTTTAGAAGTCTCTCAACAGTGTGTTATAGTTTCTAGTGTATAGGTCTTACATATGTGAGGGCTATTGGTCTGTGATTTTCTTTTTCTGTAATGTCTTTTGTTGTGATTTCAGGGTAATCCTGACCTTATATAATGCATTAGGATGTGTTTCTTCTTCTGTTTTCTGGAAAAGTTTCTGTAGAGTTGCTGTTATTTATTCCATAAAAGTTATGTGAAATTCTCCAAAGATACTATCTTGGTCTGGATCCCTCCCTCCTTCCCTCCCTTCCTTCCTCCCTTCCTCTCTTCCTCCCTTCCTCGCTTTTTCTTTTTTTTCTTTTTTCTTTTTTTTTGACAGCGTCTTGCTCTGTTGCCCGGGCTAGAGTACAGCGGCACATGATCATGGCTTACTGTAGCCTTGATCTCCTGGGCTCAAGCAACCCTGCCACCTCAGCCTCCTTAGTAGCTGAGCCTACAAGTATGTACCATGTCTGCCTAATTTTTAAATTTTTTTTTTTTTTTTAATTTTAAAAAATTAGCCAGGCATGGTGGTACATGTCTGTAGGCCCAGCTACTCACGCCTGGTCTTGAATTGTTCTTAAGCAGTCTTCTCATCTTGGCCTCCCAAATGCTGGGATTATAGACATAAGCCACTGTACCCACTTGGCCTGGAGTTTTCTTTGTGGGAAGACATCTATGAATTCAATGTGTTTTATGGATATAGTGCCATTCAGGTCATTCACTTCTTAAATGAACTTCGATAGTTTGTTCCTTTCAAGGAATTTACATAGTTCATATTGTCAACTTTATTATTAGTATAAAGTTGTTCATTATATAGTCTAATTATCCATTTAATGTATGTAAGATCTGTAGGAGTGTACTCTCTTCTATTCTTGATACTGGTAATTTGTTTCTTTTCCTGATCAAGCTGGCCAGAGGTTTATCAACCTTGTTGATCTTTTCAAAGAACTATATTTTGGTTTCTTTTTTTGTTGTTGTTTCTTATTTCATTGACTTGTGTTTCTTTCTTTCTTGCACTTTTGGTTTAATTTGCCTTTTTCTTGTTTTTCAAGGTAAAAACTTAGATCCATGATCTACTTTTTTGACCATTATTTTATTAATAATCTTTGTCTTTGTGTCTCTCACTTATCTCCTTCTGGCTGTCCAGTTGCATATATGTTTGATATTGCCCCACAGGTCATGTAGGGTCTGTTCAATTTTTTTCAGGTTTTTTTTTCTTACCATGCTTAGTTTTGAGTATTTTTTTTTTTGCCATGTCTTTATGTTTATTGATATCTTCTATAGCATCTGACCCACTATTAATCTTATTCAGTGTTTTTTAATTTCAAATATTATCATCTCTAGAAGTTTCTTTTAGGTCTTTTTTATATCTCACATTTATTCACATTTTACTCTCTTAAACATATGAGGCATATCTGTAGTAGCTTTCTTGACCATTTTAATTGCTAATTTCATCATCCATGCCATTTCTGGGAATGTTTCTGTTGACTAATTTTTTTGCTGGTAATGGGTCCTAATTTCCCTTTTTTTTTTTTTTTTTTTTTGGCATACCTGGTAAGTTTTGATTGGATGATGGATATTACAAATTTTACATTGCTAGGTGCTGGATTTCATTTTCGTACTTTAAATAATGTTGGATTTCATTAGGTAAGCAGTTAGGTTAGCAGAAATTAGTTGAATCCTTTAAGGCTTTAACATTTTTTAGGTTGGGTCCAGAACAGCCTTTTTTAGTTACATGCTTATACCATAATTTGTTTGTCCATTCACCAGTTGAGGAACATTTGGGCTGTTCCTAGCTTTGTACTCTTATGACTCAAGCAGCTGTGAACTTTTGCATATAAATGTTTGTGAATATTTATAGTAGCTTAATTTTAATAGTCAAGAACTAGAAACAACCTGAATGTCTTTTAGTAGGTGAATAAACTATGGTACATATATACTCTGGTATACACTCAGCAATAAAAAATAAATGAACTGTATATACAACAACCTGGATGAATGTCCAGAGAATTATGCTGAGTCAGAAAAACCTGATTCCCAAAGGTTACATACTATATGATTCCATTTATAATTGACATGGCAATATTATAGAAATAGAGAACTGATTAGTTGTTGCTAGGAGTCAAGAGGGGGAAAGGGGTAGGAAAGAGTAAGTGTGCCATGAAAGGGCCACATAAAGGATCCTTGTGGTGATGGAAAATGTTGTGTATACTGACTATATTAATATTAATATTAATATCCTGGTTGTATACTGTAATACAGTTTTGCTAGATGTTACCTTTGGGAGAAACTGGATAACGAGTCTGTGGGATTTCTGTATTACGATAAGTATTATTTTTTAAAGGGATAAGGTCTTAACCATGTTGCCCAGGCTGGGGCTCAAGTGATCCTCCCACTTCAGCCTCTGAGTAGCTGGGACTCCAGGTGCATGCCACTGTGCCTGGGTTGTATTATTTCTTACAACTGCCTGTGAATCTATAATTATCTCAAAATAACAAGGTTAATTTTTTTTTAAAGCAACACAAGAAATTCTAAGGGAAAAGATTGTGTAGCTTGAATACACAAAATTTTTACCTTCTGCAGATCAGAGAATATCCCACAGTTTGAAAGACAAGAATAAACTGGAAAAATATTTGTAACAAATATGATTGAAAAAAGTTATCTTTTTTTTTTTTGAGACAGTCAGTCTTTGTTGCCCAAGTTGGAGTGCAGTAGCTTGATATCTGCTCACTGCAAGCTCCACCTCCCAGGTTCAAGTGATTCTCA